GTGAACATATCCTTCACGTCACAACACAAACCATCAATTTTATCCTCCAATGCATCAATCCTTTTGTTTAGAGTGTTCTTTAAATCTTCAACACTTCTAAACAACAAATCAAGTGTGTTGTCCTAAAACAATTTAAGGAAATAAGTTAGTAAAAAATCGAAAATACATCAAGCATATGGTAATGATGCTTTTATCAAATTCTCAACTATGATACCATCTTATTTGCGACTTCTTCAGGTTCATTAGCGAATAGCAACTGCTTTAGAGAGTGGTACTGTGGGCATTTCTTGGCTCCCCAACGTAACAGTGGACATTTTATCGCTCGATTACACTGAGCAACCTCGGCGTCAAGCACTGGAAACGTCTCATAAGCCCAAATCTGAGAAAATAAAAGACATGGAAATGAATACTTTAAATTATACATGTTACAAAAGTTCACAAAATGTGTCTGTTTTTTTCATGTCAGACAGATGATGTGTCTGTTTTATTCATGGCAGACAGATTTTTTATTCTGTTTTATAAATATACACAAACAGATGTGTCTGTTTTATTCAGAGCGTAGGTGAGAAGTGTTAGTGTTTTCCATGTCCTAGTATAGAAGTGTCTGTTTTATAAATATCCTGAAATCGGAGAAAACAAGACAGTGTGGAAATCAATACTTTTTATGAAACATCATATAAAAATATGTAGAAGAATAAATATAAATTAAACTTACCCGCAGAACAAGTGGAAATCCATACAATGCATATTTCCAAAACTTCAAATTGGAGTTGTTATTTTTCTTTTCTTTAAATTTCTCCGGTTGGCCATCCATCATCCCCTTCAGATGTCACACCGTCAAGAGGTATGACTCCCAAGCCCAAGGAAATGCATTGAACAGGTCAGGGTCATCAACTGCTTCGAGGTGGGAGGCATCAATGCATGTACCTCTATCTTTTGCTAACAGCACATGCTCAACAAAATACAATGAGGCAAGCTTATGTAAATCACTCCCGAGTACATCTTCCTCCGCAGTCATAAACATATTCCGCAAGTGCGCGAAGGTGCATTTCACCGTCCCCCCTCCAAGATACTTTTTGTGAATAGTCTCGGACGAAGACCTCACATTGCTAAAATTTGGATATGACTTCGAAGTCGGCAAACTTGTGATTCGACAGAAATCTTCAAAAGTGAACTTGTGAAGAGTACCATTGATCATAAACCACATCTCGTCTTCAGGTTGTTCGCGGACGAGATGTAGCATAAGGATATGGATGAGTTGTCCAGAAAATTGGAGCTTCCGCACATCCATGAAATGACCGAATGGCATTTTTCGAAAGTTCGCCATATTCTCTACACTCAATTTGCTCCTAACTATGGCCACTGCATCTTCTAGTTCTCCACAAACCGAATACTGCGCAGGGAAGTGATCTTTGGTGGGAACCATAAGTGCCATTTTATTGTGCCTACAAAATAAACATCCGTCATTGGCATAGTCACCGGATATAAGAGAGCAAAGAAAACTAATAACCTTAGCGTAGTACTTCTATTAGAGATATGATAGTAATAAATGGGCAAAAACATGATACGAAGCACGTAAGGAAGTAACACTGAACACATACATTCTGCGTTTGTGAGTAGCATTTCACATACATTTGCCATTTTTTAAATAACTAAACATGGAATAAAGATTATTCAGAACTTAGGGTTCATAATAGATGATCAAAAAGTAATAATTGAGACAGATAAAAGCAGTTCACATACATTTACCATTTTTTCGGACATAAACATAAATAACGTTAATTAGGAATTTAGGGTTCATATTCCAGTATGAAAACGTAAAAATTCTGCATATGAATACCTATTTCTTCTACTTCGGACCACGCATTTCATTGGTGTATTTAATCGCTGCAATTTACCATTTTGGCTAGAAATTTGATGTAATTAAGTCCTTAAAAGGTAAAAATTCAGCATAATAATACCTGGAAGGTGATGATGTTGCGAGAGACAATCACCGGCCCTGCGAGAGACAATCACCGGCGAGGGAAGGCGATGAAGACAATCCAAGGGGATGTTGCTGCGAGGCGCAGGGACGGCGCGATGAAGACAATCCCAGGCGATGCGATGCGCAGGGACGGCGAAGCAGGGAAGGTGCAGCGAAGCAAGAAGGGGAGGGTGGGATAAGGGGGAAAACCTAGAGAAAGAGAGAGAATTTTTTTTTTTTTTGGGTGGAGGGAATTTTTTTTTTGGAAGGGGGGGGGAATTGTGTGGGGGGTATGGAGTATATGGGGGACATCCGGTGTACATATCCGGTGTCCCCATAGAATTATCCTTTTTGTAATTGGAGTATCTCTTGATTTTTGCAAGTGGAGTATCTTTTGATGTAGTAAGAGTAATGGACCCCACCACCACCACTCCACTTGCTTCCTTCCTCCTGTGGCCGTCCCTTTTTCTCTTATCTCTCTCTTTTTGTTTTGTCTCCTTGTTAACTATTGGTACAAAGCATCTTCATTTTCAAAATCTGCCAGATTGTATCCTCCATGTGCTGCCCATCTATATTGTCTCAATTATCTTCAACTTTTAATTGGCTTGTAGTTTATTGGCTCCGCATATGTTGACAGTAGAAGTGGATGGTGATGGTAGATTTTCAAATTTGGGTAAGGCGGCTGTAAAACCGGACTTCACCTGTAACCGTTAGATCTCGGGGGCTTCGTCCGACGACGGCGACCATGAAACTTCAACGAAGGACGCAATGAACTTCGATGATGATGGTGGTGGTGACGATGGTGACCCGCATAAGCGGCCACCAAATATACATTGGTGGTGGTGACGATGACCCAATCTGAAAAATTTTTGGAGAGACTGTGGCGTCGAGGTGAGTCTTCTCCTTCCTCTTCAATGGTGGTGACAGTAGAGATCGTAAAACCACTGACACACAGTCGATGGTAGCCTTCAACAACGATAGTGGTGCCGTCTAGTTGCGGTGGCCCTTCATAGCCAAGGCAGTGTTAGTGAGAGAGCGAGCTTCATCCTGCGAGAGCGGGAGGACGAGAACGACCTCACCGACTCTCAGGGCAAGAAATTGGGACAGATCCATAGTTGTGAAAAGATTTTTGGTGACTAACTCCAACTGTAGCAGAGGCGGACTCCAATTGAGATTGGCGGTGATGAATTATAGCAGTGGCGATGAACTCCAATTGAGAGTGGCGCACAACAGGCGCCGTGGATTCTTCTACGGGGGACTATACCCATAACAGTATTAACGACATCTAGCGACGGCGAGTTTGGTTGCAGCATCGATGACTATGAACCTTTGGTATGGCGGCGGCGTGCGGTTGCTGGACCAGCGGCCGTGATGGACTTGGGCGGCTTAATCAGTCTATGGAGGCCGTGCGTCTGAGCAATGGCGGAAGCAAACCCCGAGAACAATGGTTTCCGTGGACCGACATATTGGACAGCAAATACGTCGATGAACTTTGGCTCTTTCTTGCATTGATCTCCTGCTTCTTCCGTTAGCTATGGCTTGTTTGTAGCATCGGCTTGATGGTGATCTTTAGCATAATAATCGCCCTTTTTGAGGAATGGCAGCACTCCATCTGCAAATATTTGAACAATAGGCTTTTGACGTTTTCCCCGGCGCGGCTACAAAGGATAGACCCTATCCTCAATAATCCAACTTTATCTTTGGAATAGTGGAGCACTGCATACACCCATGTGTTGGGTGAATTTTTAGGGAGCGTCGAGGTGACGGCCATGGGAGGCAGTGGACAAGCTTTAGAAACAGCAGCATCGACGGTGGTGACGGTTGGTTTGAGCAGCGGCGACGGCGGCTGGGTTGAGCAGCTGCGGCGGCAGCTGGTTGAGCAACGCCGGCGGCTGGGTTGAGCAGCGGCGGCGGCGGCGGCTGGGTTGAGCAACGGCGGGGGCAGCGGCGGCTCTGAGCAGCAGCGATGGCGGACTCCGATAGCTTAGGGAAAGGCGAGTACCAGCAGAGCTCGATCCAGGGGCGGCTTCATTGGGGTGCTCTTTTCTTTCCCCTTTCTCTTTTTTTTTTTTTGAGCCACAAATGTGGCTGAAATTTGGGTCTCTCCTCTCTTGGAGCATTTTTTGCCGTAAGAAAAAAAATGAACATGGCTATTTGTTCGAGTCCCACGGGTGGCGCCAAAATGATGGTGTAAATTATCGACCGATATATCATTTTCGGCCGGCAAAAACGATAAACTAGTTTAAAAAATACACCAAACTATAAATACAAAGATTTTTACGTGGAAACCCAAATCGGGAGAAAACCACGGGCCTTTTTTGGCGGTACCTTGCCCACGGGGGATTTTTATTAATATTGGGGGTGTGTACATGGTACATGATTTAGGCTTAGAAGCCATTAATGGTGGAGCTAGAAGCTCTTGAAGAAGGAAAAATATACTCTAAAAATATCTAGAGACTGGCAGGAGAGGAGTGAAATTGGCCTCCTCAACATTGAGGGAGAGCCCTTCTTTTATAGGAGTAGCTGGAGCATCTTCGGAGGAATATTCTCTTATTCTTCTATTTTATTAAACAAGCCTGGTTTGACTGTTCTTCGTAAATAATTGGGAAATGTCGGCCGAGCCACGTATTATTTCCCATCACTCGTAGTAGGGGGAAAATTTCTTTAAGTCTAGGAATAACAACAGTATTATTAGTAGAATTATTAAAACCAAATGCAAACACTTTATTAACTAATTTTATACTTGCAGAATACGCTCAAGCAATAGAAATATATTTTCAGCAGTATGAGATTCATTGAAATCACGAAATGAAAGAACACGTGTATGCATAATCCAATCACAATATATCCCATGACAAGTAACACCCATATAAGACAAATTATGATATGTTTCACTCCAAATATCAGAACAAAGAGTTACATAAGAATTAAAATTGAGAAAAAATTGCCAAATTCATTTTTTAAACTTTATATTGTCTAATAATTTCTCTCTTAATTGTTTTTCTTGAAAAACCTCTTGCTTGAGGGTTTAATGCATTTTGACAATAATCAATAAATCCAAATTTTTTAGAAAACATGTTTGACAAATTTTCTTCACAAATTATTTCGGCCATTTTTTACTTAATTTTCTCGTCGCTATAAGCAAAAAGGCCGCCCTTACCCCTGTTTGCAAACCGAGAAATATGGGTTTGCACTTCTTGTCGTCTCTTCTTTTTCGCCGCGTATTTGGCGTACTCCACCAGATGCCTCGCCCTTAGGTGTTTTTCCAGACCACTATAACCTCCGGAAATTCCCATTTTAATGACGGTGCTACAATATTTACAAGTTCCATAAACTTCGTCATTTTTTGTTTCTTTTGAAAAATGATGAACAAATAAATCAGATTTTAATATTTTTACCTTTCCCCGGACCTTCAGAGGTCTCGGGCTCACCTGCCTCCTCGTTGGCATCGGTGGGATTGTTGCTCTCCGGTGTAGGCTCCACGTCCATTTCTGCTTCATCAATGTCCTCGAATATATCTTCAAGAGTTGGAAGATTAGCGTCGGTTCTACCTCCCAAATACTGTTCGAATTTTTGATCTGTCAAAGCGTCGCCCACAAATTGATCAGAGATAATAGGGAAGGAAGAGACGGAGTGTCTTCCTTGAGAACCACGTGAGTTCGAACCGTCGGAGGTGGCTTTAGCTTTGCCTTTCCTCGAACTCCGGTTCACAACGCCATATCCACGGACCTTCTACCGGACTCTTTCGACATTTTAATATATTTTTATTTTGATAAAAAAAGGACTATATTAAATTTTTAAAATATTAATTATATATTGAATTTCGAAATTATAATATTGATTTATAAAAAATTAACAATATAATATATTAGTAAATAGTAATATATGATAATATGAATAATGAATGTATGACTAAAAATTTAATATTATATGAGTATATATTTATATGTTATATAATATATTACGGAGTAATATATATTTATATTATTATGTGAATATAAAATGTATAAATATTGAAGAGAGAGTATAGGGATTAATAGAGAATTAGAGAGGAATGGATTGAGAAATGAGAGTTGAGTGTGAATCGTGTTGTATCCCCTGGTGCCACAGTTAATCCTAATATACTCAAACAAATAAGTGGAATAATGTCTAAGTGTTATAATCCTTTTTGGGATGAACTTATCACTCCTAAATTATCCAACCCAACCTTTATCAACTTGAACCCCTAAAATTCAAACCCACCAACAAAAACCAAACCCAAAAAGTCCACAACACACCTAGTCTCATTTTCCGCTTCCTTTTTCCTTTCTTTGGCCGAAACCCAACCATGCCCCATACTCCATCCTTTTCAGTTCATCAACATCATTCACATGAAACCAAAAACCAACCATTATTCATGTTCCAACACCTAACAACTATGGTCCCCCCTTTGTCCCCTAATGAGCCGAAAATCCATCCATTAAAAGCCAAGGAATATCTCAAGGCTCAACCACCATTTTAACCACCACAAAACAACCTTAATATAAAGCCAAACCAACCCCTTTCCTTGACCCTTCACCATGGCCGAACAACCCCCTTCCCCACCTCCAAATAATCACCTCACACAACAGGCCAAAGAACCATCTTTCACACACATGCCATGGTCCTCCTTGTGGGCCGAATTACAAGGCTTTCCAACCACCATACAATGGCCAAAACAACCAATATTCCTCACCCCTTCTTGTCCCCTAATAAATCCGAGTAAACCATCCCACAAATCATCTCAAAAATCAACCTTTGGTCATCATCAAATCCACACACTTCATTCATCCCTTAAAGCCGAAAACACCAACCCTAAAACCCTTCCCATCCTTTGATTTCATTCCAATAAAAGAGATTTAATCAATTGAATATTATTCTAAGTATTTGATACGGAAGCTGCTTGGATATTTCCCCTTTTGTGCTTGTATTTAATTCGGCCTAAGGCCTAATTTTGAAGCATCTTTGTTATCTTATTTCATAAATAATACACTTGTTTGTGTGTTGTTTCAAATCCGAATTTCTATATCTTAAGGGTGGTTCCCTTAAATGTGAGTGTTAGGTTCTAGATTTTAGTTAAGTGTGTTATATCTTAATTGAGTTCTAGACTCAACCCCAAGTAACGATAAGAGTTTGTTATATCTCTTAAAACCAACTTGGTTTTATCCCTTCTCTTTGCTCCCTCTTTCCCATTTTCGGCCCAACCATAACAAACCCAAACAGCCCCATTTTTTTACCTAGTCTTACACCTTTAAACTCTCAAAACACTCCCTCCATTTCCCTCCTTAAATTTGACCACCCCATCTCCCTCTTCAAACCTCAGTTAATTTACAACAAATGGTGTGATATTTTTAAAAAACAGACTATATATTTTTATTGATAAAGTTAACCCCCCTCCCCCTAGCCCTAACCCTCCAACCCCCTTTCCCTCAAACGGCTATAATGCCGTTGAGGGGTCCCCCCACTAACATGTTTGTTGTTTTTTTGCTGGTGGTCTACCAAAGCAATAAAGGACAAAAATAATAAATTGGGTACCGAAACTGGTACCGGTACCAAAAAACTGGCACCGGAACTGGTATCGTGGGGGCGGTGCCAGTTTCGTTTCCCCGAAACCGAAAGAGTGGGTCGGTCGACGGTGACGGTGGGGCCGGGGTACCGGTGGTACCAGCGCCGGTAACGGTACCATACCGGTACCGTGTCCACCCCTAGGTTCGATACCTAGATAGCGTCCAAGCGGTACCGGGTACCGACTGGTGATACCAAACGCTAGGACCAAATGGCCTGTGGCAGTAGCCGGTTACCGTTGGACGTTAAATATTAGTGTCTGTCCGGTCGGTAGGTACCGATCGTCTCCAGCGTCCGGAAGCTGAGAGCGGATTATGGTGATAGTACTAGTGCGGTACCGGCCTAGTGTGTAATGCGATAAAAACCTGGTTTTGCACCATTTTGAATTAATAGCAACAAGGCAATGCCAGACTTGCAAAGTTCAATAACAATATGCTCATAAATTGATTCCTAACGACCCCAACATTACTATGATTGATGTTATACTTAATCATGTAACCTATGCATGAAAACAAAAAACAATTCAAAGGAAACTATTACTGATAGAGTGATAGGTTCATGCAGTTCAATCGTAGCGATATTATGAATGTAAGATTCAAATTCGTAGGTATTACCTAGCTTTAGATGTTCACGTCCTCATCTTGAATTCGATGAAAAACTAACGACGAATAGATCTTGGGAGAGGCGTTGGAGCATATTTGGTTCATGGGTGCAAAGTGCATACGGTGAGATAGCTTGGTTTCACAATTGGGCAATGAGTGAAGTGTTGGAGCATGTTTGATTTAGGAGCATATTGGAAAAGTCAATGCAATTATTTTATTTCCTTAAAAATAAACTTTGGTCAAGCTGAGAGGATCGTTTTAGAAGGTAGGAAAATTTATTTAGTAATTATTTTTATCAGAGTGAGATCAAATTAAATAACCACAGAAGTATGAGATTAGAATAACAAACATCAAAAGTTTGGTTCGTGTAACAAAACCCAAAATAGTTGTTGAGGACTTGAGGTCAACAACACGCGCTTTATAAGAGTTCCCTAAAAAGGTTTCTCTTATTAAAATGTCCAAAAAATGTTTGATATTATGAGACTACCTTCAATTTACCCTTACTTAAAAGCATGAAATATTACCATGTGATATTCCCAAATTACTCTAATTCTTCGAAAGGCTATTGTAGAAAGAATCTGATTACTCCACATTCGTTTAATGATTTTCCCTCCTTTTTTGACCCGATCCGAATTCAACTATTTCTAGGGGTGGGCGCGGTCCATGATGGTCCATGATACTACCAGAAACTATCACGGACCGCTATTATTTAAACAGTTCGGTATCTATAAGGGATGAACTCCAAAACCATTCGATACCATTCCGTTTTGAAACAGAACGGTACAATACCATACCCATGCTAAAACCGTGCCAAAAAAAAGAACGTACATTACTTAAAGAATATTGAATTTAATTTATAAATTTGTATTAAAAAAGTACAAAAATGTTAAATAAAAGTATTGATTTCAAATTTAAACGGATCATAAATATAAAGAATAAAAGATAACGAGTCCAAAGTTAAAAAATTATTTTTTTCCAATTCATATAATATCGGAATACTAATAACTATATATAAAAAATAATGTCAATAGTAATGATAAATATAATAACAATAATAATAATGAGAGAGTTTTAAAATGAATAATAGAATATGAATTACTCTATACACGGTAAGATGAAGTAGACAAATACTCCATAATTATTTGAGATACGTACTCTGTATATACACTACTACAAAGTATGGAATACCCAGCGGATAAAATTAGCCTTTCCCAGCGGATATCACCCGCTATCTATGCAGCCGGTGGGAAAGCTCCTATCTTTACACAGCGGATAAAAATCCGCTGTGTAAAATTAGTAAATTTACACATCGGATATTTATCCGCTGTGAAAGCATGGCTAAAATGTGCACATAATACAAAGCAGATATGCATCCGCTCTGAAAAAATGGTAATAAAGTGCACATAACGGACATTTATCTGCTATGTAAAGTCCATATTTTTTTAAAAAAAATATATTTAAAACTATCAATTCAATAGTATCACATATCCATGCCACAAAAAGTTATTTATAAATAATTCATAAACAAGAACTACATTTTTTGTCCAATTCAACAACAATACCATTGTAACAAGAGCATTACCAACCCATCCAACAAAAAATAGAAAACCCACTGTTTACGTACAACTAAAAATGTAAAGCCCAAACTCAAAATACAAAATAATGTTTGTAAAATATGAACATAAATGTCAATTCATCTTCTTTAACCAGCAGCAATCACCAACATATTAACCAATGTCCTAGTCAAAGCAGCAGCCAAATATAATCACTGATGCAGCAAACAAGGATGGTAAAGGAAACTGATGCAAAATCATTGGCTCCTAAATGTGATATTGGTCAGGAACCTACTATAACTTCATCAACGTGCAAAATCAAATAAAATTGCACAAAAAAACTTTAGATGAATATACACACACACTAATCGCTACCATAAATTGAAATGAATGTTTTTAAATATAAGTACTTTATAACGATAAAGTTGAATATGTCAACTCTAAGAACTGCAGTTTCATGTACTCTTATACAATAGACACATGCGTAACAACCATATTATAATTCCTAATATTAACATTTTGACATTCAAACTAAAGGCTTCATGACACTTTCTCTCTTTCCCACCAAATGCATGTTTGTGAAAACCATTTAATTTAAACCCAAGTCTCGCAAGCAGACAAACATAAGCATAACTTTTTTAAATCCAGAGGAATAATTGTTTTAAAAACCACAGGGAGAAATTGGGTAACCGATGTATACCATTGCTCATGTACTCATCTTTGCGGTGTTAGGAAAAAAACATTTTAGCTTCAAGGCAACTATTGTTTAAAAAAGAAAAAAATAAGAGACAATTTTCGTAAACCACGGGACATTCATGCGGTAAGAAAAAGATTAAAAGATAGTTTACCAATGAGTATTCCTTAGTCATGAGCTAGCACAAAAAGATCCTTAAATTTCATTTACTTCCCTGATACGTTGTTGAATTTCTTGTATTCCTTCATCCCATTCCTCTATGATAGTCGTGTTAAAGGCAATCTCATTGCCCAGAAACTACACCCCTTGCTTGAAGAATATAATCAAAGTGTCAGTCTTAGAGAGATATACAAAAAAAAGTGTTTTAGAAAGGCAATAAAACTACTTTATATATTATACTCCGTATTAGATTAGAGAAAGGTATAAAAAATCATCTTCTACAATGTAGAAATTAATAAGAGAGAAAATAGTTTGTATATTGAATTGTTCTGGTGAATACAAAGGCCTAATCCTCTTTATATAGGAAGAGAGTAAAGCATATAATTAAACTTCTATTCCTACCATATTTCTATTCCTACTAAAACAAGAAATAAACAAACTAGGAAAGATACTAAATCGAATCCTAAAGGGATTCAGTTTCCTTCTTCAATTCGGCTTCCTTCTTCTGTCGCCAACACCCCCCCTCAAGCTGGAGCATGGGAGTTCAACATGCCCAGCTTGGACATCAAAAGATTGAACAAAGCTTGAGGAAGCCGCTGCCATCGTTGTCCAAAAAGTGTCATCTAGACACTTTAGTTTTTTTTCTTCAACGAAGACGCCAAGCTTTTCGAATCTGTCGAATAATCAGTAGAGTAAAGGAACGCCATTCTTTTCGAACCTTCACCGTAGTCGAACAAACAGGGGGAACACCATTCTTTTCGAACACCCTGAACGCCGACTTTTTTTTTTCTGCAAAGGAAAGAGTTGTGTGTCTGTGTAGAACAACCCTTCTCGGACAACTTCTTCAAGATTGATGGTTAGGCGGGATTCCTCGATAACAATGTTCTTCGTTGAAGGAGTTCATGATATTCTTCTTTAGTGAGGGAGAACAATCAAAGAAAATCAAAAAATTACAATATCCCGCCGGTAGGCATTGAATTGTGTATGCCCACCGGCAGGGGACAAGGCGTGTTTGAGGTCTCAAGAATTCAAAACTTGCTCTGATACCATGTAGAAATTAATAAGAGAGAAAATAGTTTGTATATTGAATTGTTCTAGTGAATACAAAGGCCTAACCCTCTTTATATAGGAAGAGAGTAAAGCATATAAGTAAACTTCTATTCCTACCATATTTCTATTCCTACTAAAACAAGAAATAAACAAACTAGAAAAGATACTAAATCGAATCCCAAAGGGATTCAGTTTCCTTATTCAATTCGGCTTCCTTCTTCTGTCGCCAACATACAATAAGATTTATTTGTACTAATGTAAAATCATTACCAGGTGTGAATAAATAATAGCCTGGGGAACATAAGGTTTAAATGTGGTTTCCTTTTCTACAGCAAGCTTCTGAGCCTTTTGAAACACGTTCAATATGTCTTGAAAATATGCACCAAACTCTGAATGCAAACTTTGAAATCACCACCCTTTTAGCTTTCTGTTCTATCTACATAAGGTGATGCATTCACCAAAAAGAAGTTTCGCTAAATGAGCATAATCAGCTAAAGTTAATGGGCATAGTTCTAGTCATTACTCGGAAAAATACATCAAATACTGTATGAGCAGTTACGATTTAAAAGGGATATTTTATTGTTTTACTTGCTGGGAGGTAAGCGATCTCTACTGCATCTGCATTTGCAAACAGACACTTCGTCTCCTATATGGTACCAATGCATGTGTTTCACCTGAAATAAAGTTATGTTATACTACACAGCCTCTGCAAATTAGAAAAACAAAAATCTTAATTAAACTAACCAACAGAAATCATCTCCACTGGTACTGTTAATAGAACAGAGGGGGCCATATTCAAAAGATGATATTTTTCCGGTGTTGGCAACAAGTACCATCCCAAAGAGGTCACGTATTGAGACTAAGTGGAGCTGGTGTATAAGGTACAGACCTCTCTCCAGCTTCAAAACACTCAGGAAACAAATAAACCTAATCAATCTCAGGGCAATAAAATGTAGAGTATATAGCTGAGCGGAAATCCCTAGAAACGATATCTAAATACATAAACTTAAAACATAAAACACAAACTATACACGTAGAGAATTAAAATCCCTAGATCCAACAAAATCAAAATCAAACCCTAGTTCAAAAGCAATCCCTAATTTGAAGAATAAGAACAATATAAAGAGCAATACTTTCATCGAACCGGAAAACCAAATCTTTGGATTGATTCGTATAGGAACACAATGTTCCTAAAACAAACCCTGTGTTGGTTGGTGCGGTGGGGCTTGACGGGGGATATGTACTGGCGTAAAAACATTTAAGATGGAATCAATTACCGGAGATGGGGGAGATGACGATGATAATTGAAGATGGGGAGACGACGATGATTATCGAAGATTGGAGAGATGGCGACGAGTACTCGATGGCGTTGGATCTGAGTCATTTTAATTTGAGAAGGCATCAATTACTGAGTGGAAAAGGCAGCGGGCTCTTTTTTATCCGCTGGGTAATGTAATCCATACTTCAAGTAGTCAGACCGCCGGTTTTTCTCAGTCAAGAATAGACAGCGGTTCTCATTTATCCGCTGTTTATTCGGCGCTGTTAAATATCCATTTTGTAGTAGTGATAGCGTTGGACGGTTTGGTCCGTGATAATCGGTTTTAAATATTTGTATTACGGTCCCCTCTCATTTGGTATCGGTTCGGGTTCGGTTCGTGATGAAAAAAATCAATCCCGTTTGAAAACACTATAAACGGTTTGGTACCATTACGGTCCGGTATGGTACCTAGTTCGGTCTTTTTGCCAACCCCTAACTATTTCAGTTTTCCCATCCAACTCCTCAATCGCACACACCCTACACATTGCGCTGCAAATCGGCAACGTAATTGTGACAGCAGAGCAAAAAGATAAGATTGAGGAACACATTTAGAAGTTATTGCATAGCATAGAAGGAGGAAAAAGAGCAGAAAGAGTTTACGGTAAACCCTAATTTTTGAAATCCCCATTTCTCATTACAAACCCTAATTTTTCTTTACGCTAAAGAGTTACGGAGGAGTATGTTTTTCATGAAAAGTCTAATTGAGCCAATTGAGTTATGATTCTACATATCTTATGGTAAACCCTAACATAGAAATAAACCCTACTCCGAAATAAATCCTATTCGAACATTGTCTGCCAAAACATTTCGATATCCATTCGAAATTTTAGGGAATTATTTTTAAGGTCCTTATATGTTTCATGAGTAATAATTCTACATGGAAAAATACCTTTGAAGGTCATTCAACTTAAATTCGACTGCTTTCAAATATTCGGATATGATTATGATGTTTTCGAATATTCGATGTTATTTTGACTTATTCGATTGGTTTCAAATATTCGTTGACAATTCCATGCATCCATCCTCTCGACTATTCGACGTTGTTTCGACGAATTTCAAATATTCTTTAAAGTTAAACTTTTTTTAATTACAGATGGGTACAGATCCCGTGATGTTTTTGGTTGACTTTCAAATTTTGCCCTTATGTGATGGGAAAAAGTAAGATGTGATAGTTTGGTTATTAGTGAAAAAGTATGATGTGATAGGTAGGGTATGAAAAGGTAGGGGTAAAAGTAGTAGTTTTGTAATAGAAAGTGGAAGTGTTTTGTAGAAAGCAAAAAACGAAAGAAGAAGGGTTTTGTGTAACGGACGGAGTATATGTGTAGTTGTAGATCTAATTTGACTCCTTTTGCATGTAGGAGCTGAGGTGACGCCACATTTAATTATTTATATCAGAATGGGGGCTCTAGGGTTAGGATTTTTCTAGTGGCTATGGGATATTATTCCATCAAGATAAAAGATATACTCCCTCAGCTCCGTCTTATAAAGATAGAGACATACACCCTCCGTTTCTTAAAACTCTTCTTCTTTAATTTTTTTTGTTTTTCTTAAAACAATTCCTTTTTCTATTAAAAACCACTTTTCCCCCTACTTTTCATACCAAGTTATCCGATTCCTTACTTTTTCATATTCTATATATCACATCATATGATAGGTAAGGGATAAATGTGATAGTAATGGGAAGAACTTTGGGGACACGGTTTTTCAAAACGTGAAAGACTTTTTGGAATGGTAGGAGTATTTTTACTTGAAAGTATAACTATTTTTTGAAGTATGAGTAGTGAAAGTAAATATGTTTTGGACATAGGGATTATAATTTTATAACTACCTGATTTGTTTAATTAATGTGTATGTGTAATACTCCGTATTTGAAAAAAATCATTATTTAATCAAGAAAATTATTAACAATAATGTTGTAAAAATTAGTAAACAGTTGTCGAAATATAATATGGAAATACCTCAGAACAGCAAAACCCAGGAAATATATGGATGGAGAAAAGTGAATTTCAACAAGCTTCTTGGTGCATGACCATTGAAAAATGAACGGTTCCGCAATTCCATGGCGTCTTTAAACACTTTTTCCTTTTTAAAGCCCTTTACCAGGTCGCTACACCACCTGATCGGCCGGTACTTGTTCTTATAACCCAAACCCCGATCCTAAATTATATAACTCCTTTATCAGAACACAATATCCATCTTTTATATATATATATTTGATCACATTCTAATCTCAATAAACAAAGGAAAAAGCTCCCAACCCACCTTCTCCGGCCGCGGCGGCGCTCTTTGGTGTCCGCCACGGTCGCAATTATAGAATTATATATTATCCTAGCTAGCTTGCTTTCTTGCTTCCAAACGCCCGCGGTGCGCGTTATTACAAATAATGACGACGACGGAGATAATGGCGACCATAGAAAATAATAACAACAACAACAACAACAATGAGATGAAAGAGAGTCCGCCATTGTCCTCGTGTTTGTCGTCGTCGTCATCGTGCGAGTCATCGGAGAGCGAAGAGATGCAGCGTCTTGAGGAGGCGCCCCCGTTCTGGCGGAACCGTAGGAGGCTATCGAAGCAGCTATCCATGTCGTGCGAGACCCCACGACGTGACATAGCATGGGAGAGGCGCCGCCGGCACATCCTCCTCCAAGAGCGGAGGAGGAGCGCCGAGTGCTTAACGGACGATGATCTGAATGAACTAAAAGGGTGCATAGAACTAGGATTCGGATTCAAAGAGGAAGAGGGACAGCGCTTGTGTAACACGTTGCCGGCGTTGGACCTTTATTTCGCGGTGAACCGGCTGCAGTTTTTTTCTTCCAGCCCGGTGTCAACACCAGGGAGCAATAATAATAATAATAATAATAATAATAATAATAATAATAATAATAATAATAATAATAATAATAATAATAATAATAATAATAATAATAATAATAATAATAACAATAATAATAATAATGATATTAATAATAATGATAATGATAATAATAATAATAATAATAATAACGGAAACTTATTACCGTCACCTTCATCATCGTCTTCCATGGGAGGAAGGTCTTCGTCGCCTTTGAACAGCCCCAGCAGCGATAATTCTGATTCGTGGAAGATCTGTAGCCCAGGTGAGCCGCTAAGTGAGACAATTAACTAAAAAAACCCACTTTTACCCCTACTTTTTCATACCCTACATATCACATCATACTTTTTCACTAATAACCAAACTATTACATCTTACTTTTTCCTATTACATCAGGGGCAAAATTGGAAAGTCAATCAAAATTACACTTACCTTATTTTTCCCCAAAGTCAAAACCGGAAGGGTTTTGTCAAGGAACCAACTCAACCACAAGCTCAAGCTTGTGGTTGTGGCTCAAGAACAGTTATTTATGTTCTAACACGCCCCCTCACGTGCAGGCGTAGTCTTTTTCGAGCCTTACACGTGAAACTTTAAATTTTTAAAACTGGGTGGCGCTGAGTTTCAAACCCGTGACCTCTTAGTCAACGAGGCTCTGATACCATGTCAAGGAACCAACTCAACCAAAAGCTCAAGCTTGTGGTTGTGGCTCAAGAACAGTTATTTATATTCTAACAGGTTTTGTGGAACGGAGTGAGTAGAGTAATTTACCTAAATAGTACTAAAACATAAGGACTTTCCCAATATAAGACCTTATGTTTTTATTTCTTAATGTAGGATTTTTGGTCATTATCAAATAGTCATTATTCAAGTAAATGTCCATCATTACTGGACATTATTCCTTCCATAAGGTCATTATTAAGTTTTATTTAGGAAATAAAAAAGTTTAAGTACTACATTAGGAAAGTCATTATGTTTTAGTCATTATATAGGTATCGTATTTAGTGCAAATTTCACAATAAAATATGCATCATTTAAGTCATTATATAGTACTCCTTCCGTTCCCCATAGATCTTTCCAATAGCCTTTTTTCTTTGTCCACAATAGATCTTTTCATTTCATTTTTAAACAATTAAAATACCACAACTACCCCCACTTACTACATTTATTACACCTCACCCACCTCATTTAATACACTCCACCCATTTTCATTAAGAGTATTATGGTAAACTTTCACCTTTTTTCAACTCTCCTTAAAAACCACCAAAAGTCAAAATGAGAACATCTTAGGGAGGCGGTGGGAGTATCATATTCTACAGCATCCAGTTTATTACTGCCTAATAGTATGTACAAATTCTAGCACGTACCGTATTATTCCATGGAAATGAAAATGAACTCGTATTATATACGGAGTAATTCGATTATTTGTTTAATTAATGTGATGACCGACCTGGATTTAATTAATTGATGGTATGAGTTTTTCATCACAGGTGACAATCCGGAACATGTTAAGACAAAGTTGAGGCATTGGGCACAAGCGGTTGCGTGCTCGGTGATGCAGTCGTATTGAAAATTGGTCAGGATTAAATTTATACTCTCTCCATTTTCTTATTTTAAGTTTTAGGAAATTAAAAATTAATACAAGGATTCTTGTTTTGACATTTTGGAGAAATATGGAATGGATAATTGTGGATGACTTTCTAATTTTTGTTCCCGATATGATGGATAAAAATAAGATGCGATGGATTGATAATTGATTAATAGTGAAAAAGCATGATGTGATATATATATATATATATATATATATATATATATATATATATATATATATATATATATATATATATATATATATATATATCGACTCTGGTTAGATAATACCTTATGTTAAGATCACATGCTTCGGTGAGATGATGTCAAGCTCACCATATTACACATTAAAGTTCACCAATGGCCAATGCAAAACTCACCTAGAAACGGAAATAAAGCAAAGCTCATTCCTTTTAACACCAAAACTCACCTTTTTTTTAAAATTTTAAAAATGAAAAATTAATTAAAAAAAATTGTATTAGTGGTCAACAACCGATCAGCGATGAAAACCGGCCAGCAGCAACGCGCAACGGTGACCAGCAGAAGGTAGCAGCGGCGACAGGCAACCGACGGCAGGCGGTGGCGGCGGTCAAGGGTTGCGGTCAACAGAGTCAACACCTTTTTCTTTGATTTAATTTTTAAAAAAAATTAAATTATGAAAAAATAATGTTGAGTTTTGCAATTGGAGTGGGTGAGCTTTGCATTTGGTGTGAGTAAGTTGAGTTTACATTTTCTAACTGCAGTGATGCATTTTATATTTGTAGTACTCCGTGGTAACGTTTTAGAAAGTTCAATTTATTGATAAAATTGCTTGTGCAATTTTTTCATATTTTTTATATTCTTTGATTTTTCACATCTTTTGATTTTTAGTATATATGGGCATGCATGCGCTTAGGAGATTGGAGAATGAAGAATTTGGAATAAAATGGCGGGCGGGAATGACGCGTACGTCACGTTGTACTTCGGTTCCTTTATGATTTTGATTGTGGTCATGATGAACCAACAGGCTGTACTTGCGACTTGGCTCATTCGTAGTTGAGTCGAGTAGTATACTAGTATGGGTTGTAATGTCTAGTCATCCATGGTAATAGTACATAATTTATGTACTTTGTACGTAATTGTCAAGATTGTGTATTCGTGCATGTATTTTGTGACTAAACCAGATGTATATGAGTGTTATGTAGTACATATTACTTGCAACCATGCTAACTAGCTATATTCCAAAAATCCTCCTATATACAATGCTAAGAGGAGCTTATGAACAGTGTTCCCGCCACTTTTACCAACTTCTTTTGGGCTGGTTTCGGGCCAGGTGTTTGTGGGCCGAAATTTTGGGCCAATTTTCTAGGCCTGCGTTGGCAGCTACTTCTTTAGGTGCGCGGCTCCATAAAATAAAGTTATGATACTTTGGAGCAAAGTGCCAAATCAAGCTTTAGGTCAAATCAATTAAATAATTATGGGTGAGTATTGGTGACTATGTAAAAAGTAGGATGTAAAAAAATAGAGTAAATTCCATAAAAGGTCCTCAGTTATATATCATTTTACATATTTAGTCCCTACATATCAAATATTACTAATTTAGTCCCCAATTATTATATTCATTTCCACGAATGGTCCTTTGTTAACATTTTCATTAAAATGTAGATAAAATTATAAATTCGCACTCATTTTTCTCCTCAATTAAGCTTCCTTCTTCCCTTGCACTCCTTTTCTAAACTCGTCGCTGAGTTTCTAGCTTTGAACCCAAAACTAAAAGCATCACTCTTCTCTCAATTGTTTATTTAACTAGAGGAACAATCTTTTAAGTTTTGGGTTTAAGAGCTTCAAACTCAGCGACGAATTTGGGAAAGAGTATGAAAAGATGGACGAAGCTTAATTGAGGAGAGAGAAGTATGAATATACAATTTTGTCCATATTCTTAACAGAAATGTTAACAAAAGATCATTCGTGGAAATGAATATAATAATTGGGGACTAAATTAGTAATATTTGATATGTAGGGACTAAATATGTAAAACGACATATAACTGGGGACCTTTTATGCAATTTACTCAAAAAAGTACTTTTTCTTTAAAAGTCATCATTTAGCACGCTTTATAATGCTAATACAACTGGCCTAATTAATGAAATTGTGCCTTTTGAGACTTGGCACATTCCTACATGCAATATTTCTTGGGCATTGCATATGTAAAGATCTCCAAATCTTTAGAATCCTGTGTCAAGGATTCGTTCCCTTCCAAAATTTCTCTTTAAATACCGATTTTGCACCACATGTCCATGAGTGTGTAACCTACAATTTAAGTTCAGTTTGGTATCAATGCAAGACAATCAAAAAATGTGAGCTTTGATGGAATTCCTCTTTTTTCGTGCATTTTTTTAGGATACTTCCTGTTTGCAAAAATGTTCTTTAAGCCTTTTTATACCATATCATTTACCGAGTACAATGTTGTATTAAACACATGAATTTTTTAGAGTTCACAATTATTCATACGAAATCATATTTTAAGATCTTCTACACTATTCTTTCAAAATATATTGTATTTCCTTATGATGGTGAGAGTTTTAATGGTTTCAATGAAAAACTATTTCTTCTCGGGTTTAGTAGTTTTATAATTCAAAATGCATTTAAGGAAATATTTAAATCATAAGAAATTTTAATCTCTTATAGAGCTAATTTCTTTGATCTAAATATTTCAAATAGTTCTTCTCTTTCGGTTGAAAAGTCTTCTTTTAGAGTTTCAAAAAGATGTTTTTAAATTTTGAAGGAGGATGATTTTAAGGTTGCTTTTGCAAATTAAAAAACAGCTTCTCTTATAATTTAAAAGAGAGGATTTTAAGATTTTAAATATCTACGATGCTTTATGGGTTTGAGGAGTTTATGTGGGAAAGGCTTTGGCAATTGTTAAAATAGAGAACAATTGAATTGATGGTCATTCTTATTCTATTTGGGAAAAGAAAGGATAAAATTTAAGGCACCCCAATAGTTCATGAAATCTCGAGTCATTACCTTAATTCTAAAAAATTTTCATATGAGATTTGTTAATTTTATTTCCATTTTCAAACAAATTTACACCCTTTTTATAATTTAAATTTTTTCATGAATAAATGTGCATCCATTTTAAAAAAATAACAGAGTAGATTGAAAACGAAAATTCAAAGTAGATTAAGAATCAAAGCAAAACACAACAAAAGTGCAACCTTATGAAATAAATATACCTTCGAAACAATAAATCAGTTTAAAAGATCATAGAGAAAATGCTATTAAATCCTAAGAAGATATATGGTAGATTCATACTCATGTTGCCAGGATCTGAGAAACACACTTAAGTTTGTCATATTTTTCATTCATTTCTTCAAAAAAAAAAGAGATGCATGTCAAAAGAATAGATGGTTTTCTTTATGGTATGAGAAAACTTAAAACTAAGGGGCTGTTTGGCAACTTCTGAATCGGTAAGTGCTGAACCAGTAAGAGGTCTGAACCATTAAGTGCTGAACCAGTAAGAGGTCTGAACCATTAAGAGCTAGTATATTGCTTAACTATTCAGAGGCAAATGTCTGATCAATTCAGATAAGAGGTCTTAACCATTCAGACTCTGTATAATACTTAACCATTCAGCAGACTCTGTATAATACTTAACCATTCAAAGGAAAATCTCTTAACCATTCAGACATCTGAACCATTAAGAGGCTGAAACAAACAGTCTGAACCATTAAGTGCTGAACCATTCAGACATCTGAACCATTAAGAGGCTGAAACAAACAGCCCCTAAGTTCTCAACCAAAAAATTGGAGATGAAAGAAACAGATCGAAGAATTCATAGGCAAAATTATATAAAATTAGGGATTAGTACATACTCGAAGAACGAATTTGAAAAGAAATATGCAATTCAAGATAAAACGCTTACATAGCCTTCCGAAACGACTTTGTTTCCGACAGTCATGCTGGAGCCTCACCGGGTAAACCAACCTTCGTGTGGTTGAAGGCTAGGCATTAGGCAAAGGTCTAAATTCGGTGCTCACGACCGGCGGCGTAGATCGCCGATGGTAAAACCCTAAATTGGTAGAGTTGAAACGGCGCATAGATGACAAAAAAATTTGGGTGGACGAGTTTGGTCAGTGCATTACCCTAAATTGGATGGACAAGTGTGCTCACAGCCCATATTTGACTTCACACCATTAATGCAATGTTTTTTACATGTGAATTTAATTTTTTCATTTGTAACATTTTTTTAACTTTGACCAAGATATGTAAAAAAAGATCATGCTACACTTACGCCAAAATTGTACTCCAAACCTACACCAAAAGTATACACCAACATTTTGATGGTTCACACCGACACAAAGTGTTGGTGCGTTAACAAAAGTTTAAGTGTCGATGCGTTAGCAAAAATTAACATTACATCAACACAAAATGTTGGTGCACATTTGCGGTGTACAAATGGGATACAAACCTTTGGGATACAAATAACTTTATCGAAAAAATACATAATGTAATACTCCCTCCGTCCGGAAATATTCTTCCCATTTTCCTTTTTGGTCCGTCCGAAAATATTCTTCCCATTTCCTTTTTTAGTATACTTTTTAAGGCTAAATATCAATAATACCCTTCTATTTTATCACAAATCTACTTTTTTAGTACTTTTTTAATAATAAAAGGAGATTTAAAAGTTTATGGTATGTGCATTTCTGAAAATTTTGCATTTTTTACTATTCCTTAATAAGCGTGTCAAGTCAACACGGGAAGAACATTTCCGGACGGAGGGAGTATCATTATTTCTTTTTAAACAAAATTTTAAAATATTAAAACTTTAAAAAATATAACTATGTTTAAATATCAATATTAATAGTCAAAATGATACATTAGAAACACGGGCAAAATCAGTGGAAGATTAAAACCAGATATGGTAGGGTAAAAAATGTCATTGACTAGCCTATTTTACCTTTTAAAATAAATTGATAGAAACAAGAAAGAGTCAAAATGATTTAAAAGTTTGAAAAAGTATATAAAATTAATTAAAAATTAAAGTCTTTGAAATATGTGTGTAAAGAGTGATTGAAAAACTAATAAACGACGAAGTGCATGTAATATTTTATTTTTAATGAGTTATTTGTACTAGATAAGGTAACAAGACTTCAATTTTGGGACGCAAAATTTAAAAATATGATTTTAATTCTGGACAAATGAAGTATAGTTATTATAAACTGATGGTTTATCTTAAATATTAAGAACACAATCTCTTTAACTTTATTTACAAATTGTTTTTACTTTTTTATGTTCACTCAATTCATTAAAATTTTGACTCAATCAGTTTTAATTTTAGGGGACAAATACTCTTTCAATGCAAAACACGGGTACGGAATCTAAGTATATAGAATGCTATGATAGATTTGTAAATAGTGTGCCGGCCTAAGTGTATAGGCTACCTATTCGGTATTGGGTCTCAAAAAGTAGCTTGAATAATGGGTAGAGATATTTGCTATGGATCCACGTGCAATGCATGTAATAATGTTTTATAGATATTCAAGAAAGTAAAATTTGGTGTGTTGCTCAAGGAAAACTTTATGTAAAATTAAGAGTAAATTATATAAAAGGTCCCCAGTTATAGGTCGTTTTACATATTTAGTCCCTACATATCAAATATTACTAATTTAGTCCCCAATTATTATATTTATTTCCACGAATGGTCCTTTGTTAACATTTCCGTTAAGAACGTGGATAAAATTGTATATTCATACTTCTCTCTCTCCTCAATTAAGCTTTATTCATCTTCTCATACTCTTTCCCAAACTCGTCGCTGAGTTTAAAGCTCTTAAACCCAAAATTTAAATGATCATTCCTCCAGTTAGACAAACAATTGAGAGAAGAGTGATGATTTTGGTTTAGGATTCAAAGCTAGAAACTCAGCGACGGGTTTGAGAAAGGAGTACAAGGGAGGAGAAAGCTTAATTGAGGAGAGAAAGGAGTGTGAATTTATAATTTTATCCACGTTTTAATGAGAATGTTAACAAAGGACCATTCGTAGAAATAAATATAATAATTGGGGACCAAATTAGTAATATTTGATATGTAGGGACTAAATATGTAAAACGACCTATAACTGGGGAACTTTTATGGAATTTATTCTAAAATTAAATACTGGTATAACATATAGATTGATAAAATCCAATGATACTTTAAGAAGAAAAGTTGGTATGTCATTATATGCAAGCTTTATGTCGAATCAAATTAAATAAATAAATTTATCAAATCCAAGCATTTAATGAATATATATTCATTGTCCAATTATTATGTTAATTGATTTTTATCATTTTCCTTCATCCACACTTTCCTCAATTATTTAGTTTAGAATTAGGCCGTGCAACGCACGGGTACGAGTCTAGTGTATTTCAAGTTATACATGTAACACTACTTTGAGAGAAGTAGCTTTATATACATACTCGTATTACTTTTCCCATCTAAAATTGTTCTAAAAACTCCCCCAACTAGCTAGATTCCACATTAGTTCCGCATGCAAGGACAAAATCTAATCTAGGATCCAAATGTTCTGTTGAGAATGAGACAATAGATAAATATAGCAATACTCATCAATCTAGCTATTTTTATGTTCTAACTTTTCTTTGAAATATCCCTCCATCTTTTGGAATTTTTTCAGTTTGATTTTCAATGTCAATTTTTAAATTTTGACTACCTGTTACATAAAAAACATTGAATTATGATATAAATATATGTGAAATATCACGCCACAAAATTTATTTGACAATAACATTTTCATGACATTTAAGCTTTGTTTGTTTAAGTTGTAAAAAACAGATTTGGATGTTGGAAGAAGTTTGAAAAAACTAGAAGTTGGAAAAATTAAACTCGAAGGAGTTGGTAGAAACTATAATGAGTTGGAAGAAAATGAAAGAAGTTAGAAAAATTGGAATGAATTGGAAGAAACTAGGAGTTTAAAAAAGCCTAGAGTCAGAAAAAAATGAAAGAGTTGAAAAAAAATAAAAAGTGTTTAAAAAAATAAACCACCCTAAATAGAATTAAAACATTAAGATGTACCAAAGTAAGATAACCATGTTTTTATCCATAAAATAGGAAGGTGCACTATGGTAAGTATATGAACATTTTACAATACGTTTTTATAATGTATGCAGTCATGATTGATGTTGTATTTGTATTTTAACTCTTATTTCAACAATAAATATATGAACTTCTTATTTTGTTATATTTTCAATGTTTTACTCCTACTTTAGTTTTTTTCCCTTTTAACAAATTATTATTTACTTTTTCAATCTTTGATCCCTTTTATTTCCTTTTATTTATGCCATTATATTTTATCTCTAATAGGATTTGGAATTTTTTCTGCGCTATGTCACTAATATATGTAACAAAAATAAGAAGACAAATGAAGAAATTTATTATTGATCTTAGTCGAAAGCCAAATGAACCAATTCATTTTTGCAAAAAAATTCCGTATATCATTTTTTTGTATGTCTCAGTATTTAAACAATCATTTTTTTACTTTTTAAGTCTTTTTTATCTTATAAACGTCAAATAAAGTTCTTATGCACTACGAGAGGTAGTATTCAATTAGGATTCTGATGGATTTTTTTGTATTTCAAAAGTTTGTAGGTATTCAATTTAGATTTGAAAAAGTCATTTAGAATGTGGGTGTATTCAATTCAAATTTTTACAAATCCTTTTAAATATGATGGTATTCAAAAGTTGATAGATTTTTAAAAAATTTTCATAATGTAGATTTTGATGGATTTTGATGCCTACAAATCCATACTCCAAATCTGACCAACATCCCAGAGATTTTGCAGACTTCTCTTTTCCGACTAATCCACATTTCACGTCGTCGCCAGTGACACAATCGATGTCACCAAACCCTTTTGAACGGCATCTTCAAGTCCAACAGCGTATAGCAGAAGCTCCTTTATCACACTGCACTGCCTTTCCTCTTCTCTCTCTCCGAATCATGTTTATGTCTTGTTAGATTATCCTAGGAAAATCCGTCTTCTCCAACCGTTTCCCCTCTCTGTATTGATAATCGCTGGTTCTTTTTTCTTAGTGGCTCGCCACATGATCGATGAAATGCCCCATAGGCGTTGAATCACAATTACAATGAGGGTATAAATTGTTTAGGGAAAAACCCAGTTTTTTTACAATGAAGGGCGATTGTGATGCAGACTTTCAGACTTCCAAAATCTAAGTAAATCAATTAAAAAGTATGTCAAACTTTGTATGAAGTCTATGGATTCTAAATCCTTCAACTTTTTAAAGTTTAAAAAAATCTTAGAAAATTTGGATTGAATACACCCCCTTTAGTCTCACACAATTATTTTTTGTATATTATCTTAATATATAAATATTTAATTTTTTTACATATCCTTAGAACGTGCACATTGTAAAAAAAGGCGTATGCATATTTAAAAGTTATGAAATGCTTAACGAAGGAAAAGAAAGTGCACAATTATTTTGGTAAAAATTTTAAAACATAATTTTTGGCCAAAATTTTAAAACATTGACTAAAATATGGTAACAAAAATTTATCTCAAGGATACAATTCCTTAATAAATTATGACATTAAATCAATATTTTATTATATTGAGATAATAATAATTTGAAGATGTACCTAAATAATTTTTTAAGCCATTGTTGAAACAAATAAGAAAAAATTAGAGAAACTGGATGGAATTGGAACTAAAAGTAGTTTGATACAATAAACGCATCAGATTTGAGAAAAGATTCATTTAGAAATTGGAGAAGAAGTAGAAGAATTGAGAGAAGAGGTGAATGATAAAGATATGAGAAAAGAGAATAAAGTTTTAGAAAATTGATTTCTTTATTAATTGAATGACGAATTCTCGAGAGATAAATACATTTATAGATCTCATCAAAACCCTAAAATACTTCAAACTCTAAAAGGTAACTAATTAAAACAAGAAAAAAATTAATAACCTAGCATTTATAATACTCCATAATAATAATAATAACCATAAATAATAATAATAATAATAATAATAATAATAATTAATAATAAACTAATCATAAGTAATAATACTATTACGTAATAATAGCACATGTGTGGCGAACACTCTTTCCCGCACTTATATGTGTTGCGAAAAGCAAGTTTAAGTATGGCAAAAGACGCATTTTCCTGTAGTGTACCTATTCATAGTTAACTATGTTAGTTCCAAGGTGTTGGCTAATCTTTTGGCAAAATAGAATCCCATATTTGTTAGATGTTTTACTAGGTAGAAACCTCTATTTGTTAGAAGAGGTTTATTTTATTTAGACTTCTAGAGCTGCTGCAGTTTTTGAGGTTGACGCAGATGATGCTACAGCACGATGCTGCAACACACAGTTCGGGATCAGAGGTCTGAGCATGGGATTTTAAGCTGCAATCTGATATAGAGACCTATTGGGACTGAGATTACCTGATAATAACTCCAGCTGTGCATGCTAAGGAATCCCAACTCTTTAGGCTACTTGTGGATCAAGAATAAGGAAGTAGAGTTCAAGCCAACTTCTACTATCCTATTCCTACTAGGATTGTGTTGAGAGAATCCTATAAATACGCAGCAGGTCCTTGGGAATTACTTGGAGCGATTGAGATGGAAAACCAAGAATATACGCTGATGTAGAGCATTCCCGTCGCGTCCCGGAGCTTCCCTTGCGTGAAGAAAGTTACTATCTACATGAAGGAGGAGATCTTTAACGCCAAAGCAGATCGTGACAACCAGGAGATGAACCAGAGCTTAAGGAGAGGGCTGCCAACACGTTTGTCCTCGTGATCTCGGTGGAGATGTGATAGCCGAAGCGGATCTGAACAGAGTTCGGGTTAGAAATCCTAGATTAGAAGTTTTGTCATAACAATTCGGAGAAGTGTGTCTCATCATGTTGTTATGTACCGGTGTAACTTGCATCTAGTGATTTAGTGGAGGGCTATTACACGGACGTGGGCCCCGCAGATTAGGAGAGTTTCTCCGAACTGCGTAAACATATCTGGTGTCATTTTTTACGCTTTTTACAGTTACAGCATTCTGCCCAGTAGGCGCTGTAACGCTCTCTGCGTCATCTGCTTCTGTGTGTGCTTGTGACAGAGAAGTGCTATAGCAGACTGTCCGTCATCTGTTATTGGACAGAGCTGCAGCGTCTTCTCTGCAGCACAGTTGGTTGATTTGTTTGCATAGCTCTTAATTGGTGATTTCCGCTGCGCCCCCACGAACTTACAAACTAACTATAAAAAAATAATACTAATAATAATATTAATAATAAATATAGTCCTATAACACTCTCTTTTCCTTGAAAACTTGTCCTCAAGTTACAAAGTGATTTAAAAGGTGGGGAAACATGCATCATCAACCCTTCACCCTCTTGGGTCAAATACTTTTATCATTGTAGCATCAAAAAAAATTGGGCATAAAGCACGACAAAGACTAGTTAAAGCCCTCCAAGCACCCATTAGTATGAAAATGATATCACCACTTGCATTACATCTGATAGTGCTAAACACAAAACTGCACTACCTGACGCCCAAAAAAAGTTCTTCTTTAATTTACCCCCATAAACAAATAGATCAGTAACAATAACATCATCAAGAACACTAAGAGGATCAACAACAATTTCCTCCTTCACCGCGAATAACTCAATCAATCGAGAAGATGGTTTATTTAATTGCTCTTCCACTACTATAGAAATGACTTTTTAAACCGTTTGTTTTTAACCTTTAAAATCAGTTATAAAAGGATGCAAAAGGTAGTGATGTAATTTGTGCAAACACTTTTTGAATCGCTTGTAGAACCAATTCAAAAAGTCCTACCTAGAAATGGTGCCAGTTCTTGGAAGGGCTTTTTGAATCAGTTGTTCCTAAACAATTGATTCAAAAAATCCTTCCCAAAACTGGCACCATTTCTGAGTAGGGCTATTTGAATCAGTTGTTCCTAACCAACTGATTCAAAAAGTTTATTTTTTTTACAGCATCACTTGATCAGAATAGAAAAATCGTTTCGCAGCAAAACAGAACACGCCAAAACAGTTTTGTAGCAGAATAGAATATGCCAAAAGAGAATCATAAGATATTCACCAAAACCAAAATAACAAAACATTTAACAAACTCATATTGTAGCACCAAAATTAAATACAAACATATAAACTCAAACTAGTTCATCAAAAATACCCCGCCCAAAACTCTCTAACCTCTTCCAATTCGGCAACCGCATACGGCGAAGTAGAATGAAACACCTACCGTACGAATGAAAACATGCAATAATAAATTTCAATAATCTATAATAAAGAACAAGAACACTTTAGCTATAAGAAGACACTAAAACGAACTTGGATCGGATAATGGTATGTAACACTAAGCACACAAAGTGATAATGAGCCATACAAACCGCATAGTATAATATCCATACTTTCCCCCCAGGATGTCGTGGTACTCCGGGAACATCAAGGTTGATGAAAATTAAGAAAAGGTTAATATATCGCACTATGCCAAAAACTGTATCTGACGACTGTTGATTAACTAATGTTTATGAAAACATAGTAGTTAAAGAAAAACAGACTACTGTGAGTTTTTCTTGGCTACAGAACAGTAGTCTAGCTATTATGCTTTAAAACTGTTTTTAAAGTTTCGAGAAACAGTAATATATCACTAGTTGTCTGTGTGAGTTCAAAATACAGTCTTTGTTTCAACAGTTGTCAATAACAAGTTAAGAATACTCTTTTTAAACAGTATTCTAGTTTTTAGTCTAGAACTATTTTTAAACTTATTAGAAACAGTTATCTATTGTTAGTTGTCTGTTTCATATGGTTTTTTTGCAACCGTTGTTTCTAATGGGAATAGAAGACTCTCTTGTAACGAGTGCGTATGAATTAAGGGTAGAACTCTTTTTAAAGTTGTGATAAACAGTAATCTTTTATTAGTAATCCTTTTCACCTAAAAATACAGTTTTTGTTGCCACGGTTGTCAATAATTAGTTAAGACTACTATTTCTAAACCGTAGTCTGGTTTTTCAGTTTATAACTGTTTTTAAACTTATAAGAAATAGTATTCTATTGTTAGTTGTATGTTTCATATAGTTTTGTTTTGCATAGTTGTTTATTATAAGAATAGAAGACTCCCTTGTAACAGTAATATATTTATATAGCGTAGAACTATTTTTAAAATTCATAGAAATTGTAATCTATTACAAGTTGTTAATAATAAATTAAGAATACCTTTTTTAAACAGTAGTTAGACTATTAATCCTAGAACTATTTTCAAAGTTTTGAGAAACCGTAATATATTACTAGTAGTGTGTTTCACACTTTTTTTTCACCGTTATCTATAATAACTAAAAAAACTGGTTTTAAGAGAATTGTGCATATTAAGCCTAGAACTATTTTAAAAGTTAAGAATAATCGTTTTAATCCGTCAAGCACACTTATAAGTATTGTTAATCTTTTCTTTTGCCACATTAATATGTGTTTCCAACGCACCGCACATGTAAATGCGTCAATTTTTACTTGTTTGGAAAAAATAAAAACACTATGCACACAAATATGTGTGGCTAATCACAACTGCATAACTAATTTTTAAAAATCAAATTTGGCGGGGTTTTTCAAACATTTTAAAGATTTGTAATATATATTACAACAAGAAAGTTGGTATTTTGACGCACTTAAAATTGTTGTTTGCCACACTTGAAGATAACAATTGTAGTTTAATTATTGATCTTTAAATTAAAGAGTTTTATACAAGTACATGCAATTATAACTATTTTGTTTTTCGAAGAGAGCAAACATGGATTTTATAAAAAATAACCACCAAGTACGTCAAATCATCAGTACACAAAACTAAACGTGTAAAAATACACTAAAACCAGCAAATACAACATCAAACAAACTACATCAAAAAGGCTAACTCTACTTTTTCATTTAATAAGGATTCTTGTCTGAAGTATGATCATATATACTGGCTGCCTCCTGTGCACTAATCTCCCTTGTATCATGACTCTTTAGATTCCTTGTTCTCCATATATTATAGCAACATGTAACTAGCATAGCTACAGTAAGCATCTTCAGAATCTCAATCTCGCATTCTTCCCATTCCTGACATTATAATTCATTTAAGAATTTAGCTAGGAGGTCATTTTTTCACCAAAACAGACACAGAGTTATAAAAGCAAAGAATTAAAATAATGAAAAGCAAGAAGAGTTTTCAAATCCTTAGTCCAAATTCAAATGCACAGTTTAGTGTTTAGGCACACAAAAAATAGGACTTTTGCATTGGTTAATTAGAAAGAATCGATGCCAAAGTATTTTTTAAAAAATGGCAATTGCATCGGTTGTTTGTAAATAACAGGTGCAAATATGCTTTTTAAAGCATTTAAGCTGTGTACACTCTCTGTCCATTACTAATGGAATAGCTCAAATAATTACTTCAGTTTCCCAAGCTCAGTAGTAATGGTACCAACTAGTTCATTGTCAATTTATTACATGTACAGAAGTTTATCTAAGCACATCTCACAATGACATGGAAATGCAATTTGAATCTTACAAGTAACTTAATCTTGACATATTTCCCAGTTCTAGTGGGATATAGCAGTGAGCCTTTTTCCGTGGAGGTAGCTGAAGCACAATATGATTATTTACCAAAAAAGATTAAAGTGGTGTGGAAAATTACGAAATGAGGTGAGATGATCTTACAGTTTTTGGTGTAGGAAGGTTTCCAATAATATGTGGAATTCGCCCTTCCAATTTATTCTAGCTAAGTCTTTGACAAGTTGAAAATAAAGTATTCTATGAGCCACTAAACACGAGTTTACTATGGTACCCAAAATCTCATACATGCACGAAAATAAAGAACAAAATATATATAGGTTGATACTCACGACACAAGTGCTTGCATTAGCCTTAAAATCTCAGGAATTTGATCAGAGAGCTCGGCAACACCAATTTCTGTGTAAAATATTTACCCTAATGTTCATGAGTAGGTAGCCTTTTAGAGTGAAATGTAAAATATAAATAATATAATAATGAGTGGGGTACCTCATCTTTTGGCATACCTCATCAATCAGAATAGAGCAAGTTGAGTAGACAACAAATCCCCTTAATTTTGAATTAGCATCCACCATTTCAATTGCAGCAAGGATCAATTCTTGTCCACCTAAAAAAAATGAAATAGTTCCAAAAAGGTTTCATGGTAAGCCCAAGAATCAGATATAGATTAAAAACATTTGATAAGTTTCCTACCAAAGAATGGACTATTCACTACTTTTAGTAAAAAGTGTGTACAACATTGAACCTACCACCTAAAGAAATTGTTCAAAAACACACAAACTTTAATCTTTGGCCATAAAAATACATCTATACCTTCTGCAAATGAGCAAACTTCTCTATGTCATTGGCAGTTTTAGAAGTCTCTGCTGACTCATCCTTAAGAATCACCTGCATTGCAAAGAGCAGATAGCAAATGACTAGACAACCCATACTCCCTATAAACCATCCTCATAGTTAAGCACATGACATATATAGATTTGTGAGATAGCACAAACATACCATGATATCCAAAGCAGCAAATCATCAGCATAACCAGCTTGGCAAATCACAAACAGTTCCAGCAACATTCAGTCCAGCAGCCGTGGACCAGCAGTAACTCCAACAAACGTCTCCAGCAGCACATGCCCATTTCCTAAATTAAATTCTGAGACCAAAAGCCAATCTCCAGCAAAACCATAAAACGCGAATTTAGTTTTACCAGAGCAGTGAGTGGGGGGGGGGGGGGG